TTTAATGCAATGCATGAAAAACTCTTCATTGCGATTTTTATATTCTTCGTTTTAATTGCAAATCGGTCTCTTTGTACTTCAGTGTGATCGAAAGATGAAGGACGACCGTCAGAGCAATCCTAACGATTTCGCTGATCCTTTCCAGATGGATCCCATCAAATTCTATCCGGAAACCGACTCAGCCTCAGATATTATCAAGCAGCGTCCGTCATCTTCCGATTCAGATAGGTAGTTGCCATCAACATTCATATTGCCTCCTTTGCATGACTTGTTTTTACCAACAATTTTAATGTTCAGCCAAATTTTTTCACGTTGTTCGGAGTTTGTGAATTGATTTAGAAAATGTTATCATTATTTCTGTTCCAATAAATAAGAGAATTGGCTGAAAATCGTGGGAAGTTTTATTTGGAAAGAGTGAATGTATTTATTGCATCAATATGCGTTTGATCGCTCGAACGTATGCAAAACCAGTCATTTCATTTAAATTCACGTTCACATCATTTTTTATTCGTAACATATCATTTTTAATTCCGAATCGTAAACGCATTGATGATTTTGTGTCGTCGAAATCAACTTGATTGTCAGTTTTCACTATCACCATAACTCTGTCAAAAACGAAAATTTTTCGAATACCTTCTTTTGAGTGGCGTGAGCTCGAAACACTGATTATTTTTTTCAAATGAAGAATAAGTAAAATAAGCTTACGATTAATACGCCAATAGATCCATTCATGAGATAGTGCCCTTAAATTCCAAGAGAAAAACTATCAAAGTAACGCCCAGCTATTTGAGCACACATTCGTGTGTCGCGATTGACAGTTGAAAATGAGCTGTCCTAACATGACAGAATGGAGATGGGATGAACATCATGAACTGATAATTAGATGTAAGCCAAAGCATGGCCTGTCTTAAGCTCGACAACATCACTGACATTTCGTACACCAATGAGTGTCGAGCAAAACTTTCCTCCGCGAGCGAGAGGTGGTTTTGCTCCACATGTTGTGTAGCAATATCATTTTGAACTGATCATTGATGGGTTGGTGTTTGAAAACTTTTGTTTGAAAATTTTTATTGCAGTACACCACGTATGCAGTCAAAACAAACGCCGCCGATTGGCTTTCGGGGATACGTTTGTATTCTTGTGCTGTTCTTAATCAATCTTCNGATCATTGATGGGTTGGTGTTTGAAAACTTTTGTTTGAAAATTTTTATTGCAGCACACAACGTATGCAGTCAAAACAAACACCGCCGATTGGCTTTCGAGGATACGTTTGTATTCTTGTGCTGTTCTTAATCAATCTTCTCAACTATATGGACCGATACACTGTAGCGGGTAAGTTTTTACCGAAGCAATAGTCGAGTTTCCACGCTCTCAGCCAAACTGTGTTTGAGAGGAACTCACATTTCCTTGCTCCGTTAAACACGACCACATGGGATTAAAAACGTCAAAAGTCACCGAATCTCATTGCAGCTGAACTTTATCCTCATCAAAATTACGGGCAAAGAGTGACACTTAAAGCAGAGGTTATGCACTCTCTTCTTTCAATCAGTGTTTTGAAGGGCGATAGAGGGCATTCTAGATATTTTTATAATTTGTCCAATGAGTAACACTTGACGAACATGCGATTCGCTTGGAATACCGCCGATAAGAACGTAGCATTTCGTTATCACCAATAATCATCTATCTAATCTGCTAAGAGTCACCATAAAATCCGAATGGTATTTCTTATTCATTTAGGAGTTTTAACAAGTATCCAACACTTCTTTGATATCAACGATGCACAAGCCGGTCTTCTGCAAACGATCTTCATCGTCTTCTTTATGGTGTTCGCACCGTTGTGCGGATTTCTTGGTGATCGATACAATCGCAAATGGATTATGACCGCTGGCATAGCGGTTTGGGTGATCGCAGTATTTGCATCCTCATTCGTGCCTGCAAATGTTCGTTCTTTGCTATATCTATCAGTCACATTATTCATGCGTTGCATTATTTTTGCAACATTTTGTTCACTTTTCTATCAACAGTCATAAAAAGTTCAAATATTCCGAGTTTATTTGTGAATGCTTTCGGTGAATTGCGCAACTTTTACACACTCCAGCAGCAACACCAACAACAGAAACATCGAAGTATTCGTTCACATAGAATGAGTAGCAAAATAACTTAGTGATGTGTTTTGAAGATGTTCGTGCTGTTTGTTATCCTACGAGGCATTGTTGGAGTGGGCGAAGCGTCATACTCAACAATCGCACCAACGATTATCGCCGATATGTTCGTTTCATCCGTCCGAAGTCGTGTCCTGATGTTCTTCTACTTTGCGATCCCTGTCGGAAGGTAACATGACACTCTTACATTTCTTATTTGATCCACTGTCGAGATGTAATCGAAATAACTCATGGAAATGTCTCTTCTTTATGTTTACTCGGTCCATGCATGAAACTCATTCGAAGAGTGGTGTGTATTCATGATGTGGATATTCTTTAACATATACTTGGTTCGTTTCAGTGGAGTTGGCTATATGGTTGGATCAACATTGGCATCCGCATTCGGAGGTTGGGAATGGGGCGTTCGATTCACGCCAATTTTGGGCGTTGTATGCCTCATACTGATCATATTCATTATCGAGGAACCTAAACGTGGTCAAGCCGAATTGGCTATCAATCAGAAAAGTGAAACCAGTTTAGTAAGCACATCGTATTTGAAGGATATGAGTGCATTGTGCAAAATGTAGGTTCCTCTATTCGACCTCTTTGTACTTCCTGAAACATGTCCTCATTTTAGGAGACGTAATAATAATGTATGCCAAAAATTTTGCATAAGAGACGCAGTTGATATTAGAGTGATATCACAGCTGATATTACTCCGTAGTGCATACGCTGAATTATTACGGCAAAAATTTTGCCGTAATAACTCAACGCATGCACTGTGCTGTAATATCAGCTGTGATAAACTAAAGTGATGGAGATAAAATAAAGTGATAACGATGAAATATAATGATAATGATGCGATAAAGTGGTAGCGATAAAAATCGTGACAATGATAGGAGTGATAACAGCCATCACAATATCATTATATGAGTGTTGCTAAAAAGTTACACTATGAATTTTCAATAATAATTGGTAGACATGTTCATGAAGACGGAATTCATTTTTCAGACCGACATACGTGAGCTCAGTATTTGCATATACGGCAGTTGTGTTCGTTACTGGCACACTCTCATGGTGGGGTCCAACGGCTATTTCGCATTCATTCGCAATAAGGGAGAATAAAAACTCCACCAGTGAATTAAGTAATTCTGAAAAAGATA